TAGCCGGAAGCTGTACCGCGGTGCGTGAGTATTCGTTGCACGATCACCACAGTTACGCATGTCAAAAAGTAGATTGCCACGGGGGACCATGTTTTTCAAAATACTTAGTTGATGGAAATATGAAGGGTGGTCAAAATCGGACCTTGTATGAGGGTATGAATTTCATGACCAAGAGGTGCGCTCACATACGCCGCATCAGGCTTCCAAGATGAGGGTCTCAAGATCATCATAACCGGTGGCTAGAGACAGTGAGTGAAATGGCTGAGTATTGCATACAGTAGCGCTCCTGAATTTATAAATTATCCCTGCAACCTTAGCCTTTGAGAATTCTGTATTTCCTTCTTAACTCTGCGCTCGGCATTACAATCTTTCTTCTGTCATTTTATTGAAATAGGCAGCCTAAACGCAGAAATCGAATCTACCACATGAACGTCCATGGGTAAAGGTTGTAAAAACTGAAACAGAAGACTGATTATTACCAAAGGTCATAAAAAAACAAACGTGACCAATAGCAGTAGCATATAGCCCTGAAGAAAAACTACTAATCTATTAATCCAACAACATCACTTCAAAATCCGTCAACTTTCGCTTTGTTTTTGTCATAGGTAAACCTTTTGTCACGGTGTTGTTTATGGAGCCAACGTAAATGAACTATACTGCACCAACTGGCAAACAAACAAACTAAAGCATATTCAAACCTGGCTCGCAGATCTCTATAATAAACCCGATGCCCAAAAGACGGATACAGGATCCCAGTAACCATCGATAAGACTTTTATTCAGTGTTAAATCTCGCAATAAGCGTTAAGAAATGGATTGAAAATATTTGAATAAACTTCCTTCTATGGTCACCCTATCCTGCACGGGTGGAACAAAATGTACCCAACTTTTACAAATTGAAAACGGTTCAGACAGAGTACACTCGCAGAGACTTATCGACAGTAAAGCAAGCTTCAAATGAGTTCTAGCCTATACTTGTATAAGTGCCCTAAATATGACAGGATGGGAAGCGGTGGTGGCCTGGCAGCAACGTTGCCAAATTATCACCCCGGGGATGTGCGTTCGAGTTCTACTATCACCGCCTGATGTTTCCGCACTGAGTGTTGAATGGAAGCCCTTGGATTGGCCGCTTCCTCCTTCCTGCAAATAGTTTCATTTTATATTCAATAAAAGGAAGTAAAATGAAACAGAAAAATGAAAATAGAAACTAAGCGGCTTCAGTACAGACTAAAGACAGATTCAGAGAATGTGAACTCACGCTATACGGATCAGCCGCAAGCAATCATAGTGAAGCTGAAGCATGTATGCAAACTCAGCACGGCCAAGTGATGAACAGCGGCATTCATTTCTTTTACTTTAGAATACCCTTTTGTTCGATGTCTCCGTCTACACCTAGAACACGCCAACATAAATTCCCTTATCTTTGTCTTTGTCGTGTGCACTGCAGTACATTTCTCCGTTACTTGTACATGACTGGTGCTAAAAGCCGCCCTGATGAATGAAAACCACAGTGGTGTGAGTTTTTGCCTTCTTTCAAAGAAGTATCAATTCGGCAGAATCTGCTGCGGTCTACATTATCGGTATCCGTAAGAAACACATTATGGGGAAAAGAGAAACAATCCTAACAGCGGTTTCCCTGGCAATTTCATGCGTCGAATACGTGAATATGCGTGGTACTGGTTTCAGATAGGGAAACCAATACACATTATTTTTTTTCTGCCGTAAATTTTCATGAGAAGTCAACGCAGTACTCGTCTGAACAGTATCTGAGTTCAATGATCAATATTTGCGGTGCCATAACAAATGAAGTTGTGGCGACCATTAGAGTATAAGGTTGGATTTGACGCTGTCAACAGTGAAAAATGAGAAAATTGGAAACTCAAAGTTAACCACCCCTAAGAGTGTCTCCAACGCAATGTGGTCATTTAACCGGATCGAAGGGGTGGTGGACATTGACGTGGTTGGGTAACATTTGGGCATTTGTAATGAAACCACTTTTCACCAAAAGTAGGGATGAACTACTCATTGGTAGTGAAAACTAAAATGACACTCGAGGAGAAAATCTTTTCGCTTCGGTTTTACTTTAGGAATACACAGAGGTTTCTAGTTTTTCCTCCATCAGGATTGGAACTTTATTCGGCGGTTCACCAAACCGCGGGGAAGTGATTACTCACAGTTGGCAATTTATTGCTCATAAAATTGAAACACTGACAAATCGGTCTTTCTATACTGCTAGGTTTTAAGTTGGCAATGCATGTGCTTCGGTTGTCACATCTTCAGTTGCCCTACGGCGAAAAGAAAACATTTCAAGTAGCAAAACAGCTGAAAGCACATAGACCTATTGCCCTAATTTAGTTCATCAACTGCGTGCTAAACGGTCTTTGATGATAGAATAAAGAACAGAATACCGTGCATGCAACTCATACGATCAAATACAAAAGTGATTTCTTATTATGAGAGCAAACTTCAAAGACACTATCTTACTCATGTCTTCTGAAGCGGTTCAGATTGAAAAATATCGGTATCCATTCCATATTTGGTATGTCTATTTATGAATATTCTTCTATTGTTCCGAACCGAACAACATCGTTGCTCTGTTCCTGTCCATTTGTTAGAACATAGAAAATCGAAAGTTGACAGGTTCTGCAATCAACCATCCGTCATGCAATTTCGATTGGGTAAACTTAAGAAACTGATCACAATGCTTAGGGACATTTAAACGCTCGTATACCTGTACTATTCAGCGTGATCATATTAGGACAGTCTTGCGGGGCTTGAGTCTGTAGTCGTGGCTCTCCACCATTTGATGTTATGGCGGGCACGCGTAGATTTTGACTCTGTGCCGTGGTAATGAGGTCCAAGGGTAAATCCGGTGGTGGCAAACATGGAGCATAGGCTAACGCAGCACTCAATCCCGCACGAGGGCGAGATGCGTCTTTGGGAACACAGGTAAGTGAAGGTGGTGGTGGTAGAACCGCGGCATCTTCCGCCTTGTGGCTTCTCATGCTTGAGCAGGCTGTGGCGAAGCGGAAATCACGTGCCATTTCTTCATGAATAGGCCGCTGAAATAAAAAAAAATGCGATAGATTGAAGTGACTTTGTTGCTACGGTTTTTACATTGCGTTAATACAAAAGGTGATAAAATGGGATTCAACTCAGTCTGCAAGACATCTATAACATACACCGAGAGCTCTAGACTGTGTACCACACAGGTATGGTTAGCTTTCAAAACTAGTCAGGTAAATAAGGACCCCAGTAACTAGCGTTTAACTTTAGTTTGCAGATAAAATTTCACTTCGTTGTGACTCCGATCAACACCCAATAGTGATTCGCCCGTGGGCCGCGGATGGCAGCCTTCTGCAGGCACTTCATCGCTTGTTGAGGTGGCACTCCCAGTGCTTGTGAAGTAGCACTGAATATGAGACCTCGGCTGATGATCAAGCATTTGCAAAAACATTGCCAAACGCGTTAACAAACGAAATCCAATTCCGTCTACCTGAGCTACGAGAACCAACAGTTTATTCCTCGTCAGATGCAAATGCTCGTTGTTAGTTCTTCTTCTTGATCCTATTTGCACTTGACTAAACACTGCTCCTCCTAGGTGCTTGTTAGATTGAATATTTCACTTCAAAACTGTTCCAATCACTACTACTCAAAATCCCCACCCTTTATTCTAGCTATCTTTTCACCTGTATGGGTATTGCAATGTGGCATAGCTCACGCTCAGGTAGCGTTTACATTTAGTTTTCGGGCACGTGACAATTCAACACGACAGTACACGGATGCCATCTATGTCTTTGTGTAAGGTCCACTCTGCTGGCTGAGCTACGAGGTGACGCCTCAGTCCTAAAG